AGCTGTACCTACGTGTTGGAGGTGGCGTTGGGGGAGACGGTGGAGCTGGTGTTGGTGAATCAGGGATTGACAGGAGACGAGAACCACCCCATCCACCTCCACAGCCACAACTTCCACATATTGTCTATGGACCGTCTTGGCAGGTGAGTTTAGATAGATAGATAGATAGATAGATAGATAGATAGATAGATAGATAGATAGATAGATCTTATACTAACACTGAACAAAATAGGGCATAGCAATAAGCTGATAAAAAGTGACGTCAGCTCCACAAGGGGTCACAGCTCAAGGTTGAAGAAGCCACAGGTCCAGAAAACTGTGAGGGGTAACTTTTTCGGAGTGAGAGTTGTGAACTCTTGGACCAATCTGCCAGTGTGTTGTGACGGCACCGAGTGTGAGCTCTTTCAAGACCAGACTTGACCAACACTGAAGCAGGTACAGATACATTCAGGAGCCAGTACAGTACTTACCAACAGTGCGTAACAGAGACCGATCGCCAAAGCGGCTAGCGAGCCGATCAGTGGTGAAGAGGGTAAAGGTAAAGTAAAAAGTATAGAAAAAATTCGAAATATTACAGTAGTTACCCTACAAAATCTCTTCCTTTTCTCTAATTACATTTTCGTAAATAATGAATCAATTTCTAAAACTCTTCCCTATAAAGACTATCGATTTATTTGCAGGATTCTTTAGATATGATGGAGTAGATCAAGATAAAGATAATAATAATAATAATAATAATAATAATAATAAATAATAATAATAATAATAATAATAACAATAATAACAATAATAATAATAATAATAATAATAATAATAATAATAATATCGAACACCTCGCCTGACTGACTTCACACTCCCACACGTCAACACAAAGCATAACAATTTATCGTTGGGTTTTATGGACGAATAAACAACTTACCTGGATAATGGTGTAGTGAAGATTTGCATGTCGTCGTTGTACACAGCATAGTCCTGAGTCTATTATATGGTGTTGAGGGGCACTAGTAATATTATAACGTCAACCGTAAATGAGAGGACTAGACTGTTGCCTCGACGAGTAAAGATGGAACACAACTGAGGAACTACTGTCTGTCATCTACCAGCACCGAAAGTCTTATAAAAAATGAAAATAAACCCTGATACGTTAAGGAAATACTGCCAAGTGATGTATCTTGCCTGACTAAACCACGAAAATGAGAAAATATTTAAAGGAACCGAATGAATGGCGTAACTATAGTACACATTTAGTTTTAGTTGTTTGTTGTTGTTCAGAGGGTCGGTGGTTCCATCCAGGCGTTCCCAGTTCACCCAGCTGTAAATGGTTACCTGTGTTTATAAGTTGGGGAAGTGGTGTATTGTACCCAGCCATGCTGCCCCTCTTGTGTACTGAAGGCTCAGTTCACAGTATGGTACCAACTTTTCTCTTCTTTAACTGAGTGATGAATTAGCAGACGGTCATCACTCAACAACGATCGGCTTTCTAAACAAGAGTATACATTAGTATTTGTGTTCTGCTTAACGTTTATCTTATCTTGCAGTAATACGACACTGGAGGAGGTTAAGGCCCTGGACGCTGCTGGAGGCGTCACCCGCAAGCTGTACAACTCCATTAAAAAGACACCGTGGCCATTCCTGACGGAGGCTACACCATCGTCAGGTTCACTGCCGATAACCCTGGTGAGGCCTCCTCAGTATTCCAGAAATCACGTGGACTGACATTACACTGTTTGATAATTCTGATTTATATTATTCCATATTTTGGATCACCTGAACACCCCCTCCCCTCCAGTACTACCTGGGCGGAGATTCTTCAGGTGATTATGTATTTCACACTTATATTCAAAATCAACTTACCTTCTTCACTTAAATTTCGACTTTCTATTGACAGTAAAATCTTTCGAAAAGTTGAAGGATGAATTTTCTATATTCTGATTCTGTATTACATCATATTTTTCTTTATAAATAAGTAGACTCACAGGTAAAATAATTATGAGTGTTGAATATTGTGGCAGTATTCAATATCAACAGTTAGTTTAATGAACATGGATACGACGCCCCAACACCAGGGCCAAGGGCTTTTGTTTTTGTAGGATGAGGGAGGGGAGGGGAGGGGAGGGGGTGTCTCATGCTGTTGGCCACATAAACAAGACTGACTACTGTTGTCTTGCCTCTTCATCAGCCCACAATGGTTGACATCCACAGGGTTAAGACACACACACACACACACACACACACACACATGCACTCCACCACAGGAAGACCGATTAGTTAGTAAAGGTAATTTGCTTCAAGGATATTTAACAGCTGGACGTTTGAATTCGAAGGATCTATTGTCCAAAATAGGATCCATCACATAAATCGCTTCAATTATTAGTGATGCAACATTTCTGCAGCTCCCTGGTCAACCAACTGTTACCACAAAAAAGTCGTATCTCAACTTCTGGAAAACTTGATTAAGAGGTTCTGTTTGTACTAAGAAAAAAAGAAAATCTTTAAAATTTGTAAGTTTTTCCATTTAATATCCTTTCAGTCGTCAAGTCGAAGGTAACATAATCATAATAAATAGTTTCAAATATTTAAACTAAATTAAATCAGAGGGAGTTTGACAGGTTTGATAGGTGTGGGTCACTAACAACAAGGCGGAAATAAATTATGGTCAATATTTATCTTTGCCGTACAGGTTGGTGGCTGATGCACTGCCATCTGTCCTTCCACTCGGAGCTTGGGATGGTGGGTGTCCTACATGTTGGTCAACCAGAGGACCTACCGCCCGTACCTCAGGGCTTCCCCACCAGTGGTTCCTTCATGCCAAGCCTCTACGAAGATCAATAGGACTCTTTACCTCTCCTTGTCGTCCTGATACATAACCCATAAACGTCTGTCAACACCTCCACGTATTCTAATCTCACCAGAAATCTTCCCACTTCAGATTTTCTTTTTTGCCCTTACCTCGTCCAACACACACACACACTGGTCCCCCTGGCTCACTCTTAGTCCCCGGGCTACTCTACAAATCAATTCTCCCACCACCATCTCCCTCCACATGCCTCCATTATTCATCCTGTGAAAGGTAAATAACTTATGTATAATCCACTATTATGTATGATATGAATAATAATGAATTAAAACAAAAAATACATTGGTTTTTTTTTATTTATTTTCCAGAACTTATAAGTAGATAATACACTTCCCGGCCTCCAGTCTGTACTCTCTGTGTCTAGGTAAGTCTTCTTGTCATCCAGGAACCGACGCAGGAGCTCCTTATCCTGACTCATCCTGGTATGGTCTGACCCAACCACTTCCTAACACATCAATCGATATACAAGACTGTAAGAGGCAGTAATAGGTAATAATAGGTAATAATGGGCAGTAATAGGCAGTAATGGGTAATAATAGGCAGTAATATGTAGTAATAGTTAGTAATATGTAGTAATACGTAAATATAGGCAACGATATGTAGTAATAAGCAGTAATAGGTTATAATAGGTAGTAATATATAGTAATAGGTAATGATAGGCAACAATAGGTAGCAGGAGGCAGGTTAAAGAATGATACTGAATGAAACAATGATTCACATCGTCTATCGCAGGTGTTTTAGAAGAAGAACCTGTCTCTCAGTCTAACAGATCCACCTCTGATTCTCCATGTTGTAAGATAATTATAATAACCGATTCACACTTTGGTATATTTTATTATTATTCGATATTGTCTCTTATGTGGGTCAGTGATCTCTGCCTGGGTCGGCTAATCCCTGTTTAAAAAAAAAAAAAAAATCTAACCATTCTGAAAACCGAAAAATCCCGAAATTCCTCTGGCCCCAAGGATTTCGGATAAGGGATTGTCAACCTGTACTATAGTTTGTTGGGTAACTTAAATATTTTCTCTTCGATGATACACAAGCAGAAAGTGTAACAATTATACTCGTTCATAGAGGCCATCTTGGTTCTTCGGGGTCACTGCTTCGTTGATGTCATTCTGCAGGTTGTGTTGATGTCATTCTGCAGGCCGTGTTGAAAGTTATCATCCATTAAGTCGATTATGGGTCTTACACCCAAGAAGGGTCATACTAGTACTTCTTCTCCTGTGGAATTATTCCCTGGGTTCTGCCTGGTAATGGTGTTGTATACCCTTGAATATTACAGTATACACAGGGGATGTATACACCCCTGAATAGTGTCCCTGGGTGAGCTGTACACCCCTGAATAGTGTCCCTGGGTGAGCTGTACACCCCTGAATAGTGTCCCTGGGTGAGCTGTACACCCCTGAATAGTGTCCCTGGTTGAGCTGTACACCCCTGAATAGTGTCCCTGGGTGAGCTGTACCCCGAATAGTGTCCCTGGGTGAGCTGTACACCCCTGAATAGTGTCCCTGGGTGAGTTGTACACCCCTGAATAGTGTCCCTGGGTGAGCTGTACACCCCTGAATATCACGACACCATAGTTACTACCAAGTATATGATATACTTATACACTTCACGACTTTAGCATCACTTTTATAACATATTTACAGGCGAGAGAACAATGATCACTTTACACAGATATTGAGAAGGACATTTATATAATAACTGGAAGGGGACTGTTCTTATAGTGATCCGTACGAGGTCTTATGGGGTAGATGCGGTTGGGGTGTCGAACAACAATTTGCGGACGAAGGATCTCAGGTGGTAACAGGAGACGGTGGAGAGGATGGGGTAGTAAATTTGGAACTGGAACTTGACTAACACAAGAAGTCACGGTGAAGATTGAGAGAGAGTTGAAGGAGGGAGAGAATAGTCTTGCACGTCGTCTTTGTGTGTGTGTGTTTATAGTATAGTTTTAGAGTTAGATGACCAAGCGGATACACCACTCGTCTCCATCTCCTCCCCCTATGTGGACCTAACCAATAAGACGGGGTGGAGAAGGTGAGTCACTCATCCTAAGCAAAAACAAGTCGATGGTCTATGTCGTCTAGTTAGGTTCCTCTATCAACGCTGCCTCCATCTTCTTTTGTTCTATTATTTTTCATATTTTTGAATTCATACGATCCCCGAGTTTATATATGATATAATAGACGAAAAACATGATAAGCATTATACCGACGGAGCCCCCAGCGAGAGCAGGTGTCTGAGGCACTATGATGAAAGCCCCGACAAGAGACAGAGTGTTAAGGATGTAAACAGAGGCAGCCAACACTAACCGGTGGAAGTGTGTGCCTGCGAGAGCACCAAAGGGAGCACCGACTGTAACAATGGGGAACACGACCAGCAGATACTCCCAGCTCTCAAGGGGCATCGTCTGCGTCACCAAGAACCTCCACCACCAACACACCATTGACGTCATAGCCATCAGCACCACTGAGGTTGGGGTCGCCACTTTCTCAGAGATCTTAAAGAAGAGAGTAAGGAGACTGAACATACAAATATCAGCGCCACTACCGGAAAAAGACGTAAATATACCACCGATAAAAGCAAACGCAATAATCAACAATCTCTTCCACCAATTTAGATCCGGAATGCTGTTAAATGTTCGTCTCTTGTGGTCCCAGTTGATGAGGAACAACGCAAAGGCAAAGGCGAAGAAAATGCTCACGAAGCCCATCTTCTTCATTGAGGAAGTTAGTATTGGATCCACTACCTCAAGCCCGAAGATCACGCCGGCAGATGACCCCAACAGACTGAACAGCAAGGCGTGTCTCTCTATGTGAACGTTCATGAAGAATATGGAGAACGTTGCAGCCGTCATACCGTTAGCTTGTAGTGACATGGACAGGTCCAGGCCACCTCTGGGGGTTCCTGCATCACGAGAGTCATCACTGGAAATGCCACAGCACCTCCGCCCATACTGGTCATACCTGAAGACACCAGAAAGGAACTGGTTATATATATATATGTGTGTGGGAGTTAGAGGTGTGTGAGCGGGTGGGAATAGGAATGTTGGGGTGAGTGTGTGTAAGGAGTGAGAGTTAGGGGGGTGGGAGGGTGTGAGAGGGAGAGATACACCTTACCACCTTACCAGGGCTCCCAACTTTTCTGTTTTCACTCATACCAACAGCATAACTTTCACTATTGATGATGGTAGAAATAATTACGGGTAAAATTAGGGTGTAGGATAAGCAGATACTGAGATGTTTGAATGAAATTAAACGCTATGTTACCCTGAGTGAGATGTAAGATGTGTGTGTGTGAAGATCGATAAAAAAATGACCCCAAAATGCTTTCTGAGTGGTGGGCTGTGGTCGCCAACCCTCAGACAACTGGATAGACTCACCAGCGACGATAGAGCCTGGAATCATGGTGATGGTCATGGGATATTTCTCTATAAACACGTAGAAGAGGTTCCTATAGGCCATGGCACTCCAGTACCAGAAGTGATAGATAGCTGCAGGGAGGAGCCAACCCACCAGTTTACGCTTGGAAGAGGAGAGACCCGAGAAGGGACCTTTGTTGTTGACGAGATCAGAGTACTCGTCCTTTGTCTCTCCATGCTTCAGCTGGCCTGCAGGAGGTAAACATAAAATGAACGCCTCACTCACACATATATTAATTTACCATAAATGCTATAAATAAAATCTCCTTGACTTAAAAAAAAATATAACTTAACTATTAATGGCAGGTGGAAATGTAATGACTGTCTAGTATAGTTGTGACCCTGGAATCAATTAGCTCAAACCACTAAACTCATAAACCTCATTTACAGTGACCTAGATGTGTAAAATCAGATAATGAAGAAGAAAGTGAGAAAGGTGTGAGAGTTATCGGGGAATGAGACATCCAACCCAACAAGGAAATACACTTGGGATGCACTTGGGATAATCTTATGAGTGTCTTACCTTCCCAGAAAAATTTTTACACCAGAAGGAGAAACCATTGTGACACCACTTTTCCCAGAACTTCCTGTCGCGTCTTGGACTCAGGACACTTTCTCCTCCTCTTCCTCCTCTCTTTTTCTCCTCCTCTTCCTTCTTCGTCTATCATGACCCTCTCCGCCTCGTTCATCGTCATCATTCTATGGAAACGATAACAGTTGTTCTCTTCTTTGTAGTTTCCTTATAGAGATAGATTTTATTTGACTGTTTTCCCTTTTGTAGTTTCGCGGTGCCTGAAATGAAGAAAAATAAAATCAAAACAAAAAACTTTAAGAAAATACAAAGCTGAAATAAAATACTCTGTCGTTATTCAGTCCTCTACGGTAACACCCACACTGCTGAACATTACCTGAGTTCTCCTGTAGGCGTGGACGCGACCTTTGTATAATATTCTGTAGGAAATGAACTGTCAGAAAAGGCAAGTGGAATTAGATGGATGTTATCGGGATATCGGAGGGAGTGGAGCCGGACAAAACCGGTATAAGACCTTCCAGTAAAATAATTTTCACTCCATGTGTTTACGAACGAATGCAAGAACAGGTTCTCCCACATCGTGCTCACTTTACGAGCTCTAACATACTAAAACCTACAGTAGACCTGGACCAGCAAATCTGTACATATATCACTCTCTCACTCTAACCCTGCTCTATCTTCCTCTAACCCAGCTCTATCTCTCACTCTAACCCTGCTCTATCTCTCACTCTAACCCTGCTCTATCTCTCACTCTAACCCTGCTCATTCTCACTTAACCCTGCTCTATCTCTCCTCTAACCCAGCTCTATCTCTCCCTAACCCTGCTCTATCTCTCACTCTAACCCTCCCCATTCTCACCTAACCCCTTCTCATCTCTCACTTTAACCCAGCCTATCTCCACCTAACCCTGCTCTATCTCTCACTCAACCTCTATCTCCTCACCTCCCCCCAACCCTGCTCTATCTCTCACTTCCACCTATTCTCCCCCCCACAACCCTCTCTCACTCTAACCCCTCTATCTCTCACTTTAACCAGCTCTATCTCTCACTCTAACCCTGCCATCTCTCACTCTAACCCTCTCTCTCACTCTAACCCTGCTCTATCTCTCACTCTAACCCTTCTATCTCTCACTCTAACCCCTGCTCTATCTCTCACTCTAACCCTCCTCTATATCTCACTCTAACCCTGCTCTATCTCTCACTTTAACCCAGCTCTATCTCACTCTAACCTCCTCTTCCCTACCTTTCTCACCTAACCCTGCTCTATCTCTCACTTTAACCCAGCTCTATCTTCCTCTACCCCTCCCCAACCCCACTCCCTAACCTCTCTCACCTAACCTCCTTATTCTCCTCTAACCCTGCTCTATCTCTCACTTTAACCCAGCTCTATCTCTCACTCTAACCCTGCTCTATCTCACTTTAACCCCTCTTTCATCTCACTTAACCCTCCTATCTCACTCTAACCTCCTTATCTCTCACTCTAACCCTGCTCTATCTTCACTTTAACCCAGTCATTCTCACTCTAACCCTGCTCTTCTCACTTAACCCAGCTCTATTCTCACCTAACCCTCTTCTATCTCCTCACTTTAACCCAGTTTCATTCTCCTCTAACCCTGCTCTATCTCTAACCCTCTCCACTCCTCTTCATCTCTCACTCTAACCCTTCATCTCACTTAACCCTGCTCTATCTTCACTCTAACCTCCCTCTATATCTTCCTAACCCTGCTCTATCTCTCACTCTAACGCTCCTCTATCTCTCGCTACCCAAAGTAACTGGATTAGCATATTACCCCATCCCACCAGTTAGTGAACAGATCTTTCTCTCTTGACAGGTTTCAGATCGACCCTCCCACAGTTTAGTCGACAATTTAGGCTATTTTTTGACTCATAAATACGTCGATACATGTTCTTCTTGGTTCATCCCCGTGTGATAATCGAGCGCCACAAGATGGTCGGGAAAAAGTAAACATGTGTTGCACTAAAGCCCACACACACTGACCTACCATTATGTGGATTGTGTAAAGACTATTATTACGCGTTAAGGTCTGTTATCAAATGATTGTAAAATGTTCTTCACTGATATAACCTTGAACGCTAAACTGGTAACTGCAGTCCAAGAATCCCTGACACCCACACACATTATAAACACAGATTCAGACATAATTGTTATGTGATTACAGTATTTCGTAGTTTTTAAGTATGTATTTCATGTCTCTGGGATCTTGTTCATTTACACACAATTGAAGGGTCTCAATTATTGCTCTAATCTTTACTCAACATATATATTATTTCTCACTCTTGATCTGTTTTATTGCAAAATTTTGTGTTTCTTTTTATATACACCACCCCTTGGCCCCTGATGGGTTGGTGACCTGTGTATGGGTGAACTATCCCCCACACACTAAACTAATTAACTAACTAAATAAAAACATTACTAATAGTTACTCTATCTCCAACAATGGGTCTAACATTGGTAATGACATCTCCATCACTAGAGCTTATATCTCCAACAATGGGTCTAACATTGGTACGACATCTCCATCACTAGAGCTTATATCTCCAACAATGGGTTCAACATTGGTAATGACATCTCCATCACTAGAGCTTATATCTCCAACAATTATCTTTAGTATGATTGATGTCATCCCATGTTTTTAAGCATGCATGAGTCCACCCGGGCACAGGTCACTTAATTCCTCTCCATCACTTAATTCTCTGCACTTAATTCCTCTCCAACACTTAATTCCTCTCCAACACTTACCCTCTCAACACTTACCTCTCCAACACCCTACCTTCCACTTAATTCTCTCCAACACCCTAATCTCCCTCCAACACTTAATTCTCCAACACCTCAATCACTTAATCTCCAACACCTCAATTCTCTTCCACTTAATTCTCTCCAACACTTAACCTCTCCAACACCACCTCCAACACTATCCTCCAACACTCACTTTCCAACACTTACCTTCCAACACTTAATTCTCCAAACTTAATTCCCCTCCAACACTTAATTCCCCTCCAACACTAAATTCCTCTCCAACACTTAATTCTCCTCCAACACTTAATTCCTCACCAACACTTAATTCCTCTCCAACACTTAACTCCAACACTTAATTCCTCTCCAACACTTAATTCCCCTACAACACTTAATTCCCCTCCAACACTTAATTCCTCACCAACACGAGTAACCGCTGTAAGGGCATGAAGTAAAAGATAAAATTCTGGGTTCGTTATCGGTAAATCACTTTATATCGGCATAAATGTCCATATATCGGTACCTTCTATCCCAGAGATTAACATTATGATATCGGCAACTTTAACAAACAATAGGTTATCTTAATCTAACTCAAAGATTAAGATAACTAACCTAATTTAACGTTATCCATGTACTATAGGCAGGTAACGTGGGGTTATCCATACGAAAGAGGATAATTTTTAAGATAATTTTAACAATTTGTACGATAAGTGTTGCTGTTAAGTATGGGATAGATATGTGCTAGTGTTTATCTCTCTATCTCTATCTCACTTTTTGTTGTTGTCTCTCTCTCACTTTGTTTATCGTCCTCTGCTCTCGTTTCTGCAAAGGAACACTACTAAGAAATACCACTCCAAGACCTGCCGCTCTGTTGGCTTACCTGCCGAGTTAGTCACACACACAACACAGCACTAATACCACAAACCAATAATTGTTTAAGACACATTGGGTCTACTCATATGAACAACACATGATCCTGAAGGATTGAAATAAAGGAAATTTGTTGGTGTCAAGGGGAGGTTACCAGAGAGTATTAAAGCCACTTTTTCATCACTGTATTTTAATATTTAAATCACTAGAGTGAGAGTGTCTCTTAACCTGATGCTATACCTGTTAATTAGGTAAGTGCTTCTCAAGTAAGTGCCTGCCAAATAAGTGCCTCTCAAATAAGTGCCTTGTAAAACACTGGACATAATGGCGAAAGGTTACAATAGCGAGACAATCTAATTAATGTGTTTAATAGACGCTGCAACTAGTTATTAGGTTTTGAAGTGATTAGTGGGTTATTTTGAGCTATTAGATCATCTGGTATCTATTTTCGGCGCCATGAAGAACTTATTACGAATATTTTTTATAAATTATATTACCATTATATAAGGGTGTACGAGATAAGATGCCTGTTGCCTGCAATGCATTCTGCACTGCATTTTGCTTGCAATACTTGGTACCATGCTGCCTGCTACCTGAGACACTGTGAATTGGATGGAGAGAGGGAGGAAGTGGGCAGGCAGGGAGGAAGGAGGTAGGCTGTGCAGGAAGGAAGGAGGCAGGGATCAGGCAAGGGAAGGAGGTAGATCAGGCAGGGAAGGAGGTAGGGACACAGGCAGGAGGAGGGAAGAGGAAGGAAGGAGGGACAGGCAGGCAGGGAAGGAGGCAGGTAGGAAGAAGGAGGTAGGGACAGGGCAGGAAGGAGTGTAAGGACAGCAGGTAGGGAAGGGAGGTAGGGATCAGGCAGGCAGGGAAGAGGGGATGGCAGGTAGGGAAGGAAGGAGGTAGATCAGGCAGGAGGGAAGGAGGTAAGGATCAGGCAGGTAGGGAAGGAGGTAGGGATGAGGCAGGACAGGGAAGGAGGTAAGACAGGGATGGTAGGAAGGAGGAGGAAGGAGGTGGGGAAGGAGGTAGGGAGCAGGTGGGAGAGCAGGTGAGGAAGGAGGCAGGGACGGGAAGGAGGGACAGGAAGGAGAGGCAAGGGAAGGAGGTAGGGACAGGGGTAGAGAAGGAGGGATAGCAGGTAAGGGAGGAGGTAGGCAGGAAAGGAGGTAGGGATGAGGCAGGCAGAAGGAGGTAGGGATCAGGCAGGCAGGGAAGGAGGTAGGGATGAGGCAGGTAGGGAGGGAGGTAGGGACAGGCAGGCAGGGAAGGAGGGATCAGGCAGGCAGGAAGGAACAGGACAGGCAGGCAGGAAGGAGGTAGGGATCAGGCAGGCAAGGGAGGGAGGTAGGGATCAGGGCAAGGTGGAAGGAGGTAGGGATCAGGCAGGAGGGAAGGAGGTAGGATCAGGCAAAGGAGTGAGGACGAGGCAAGAGGAAGGAGTGCAGGGATGCTGGATGAGGCAGGGACTGGCAGGAAATGAGGTAGGATGAGGCAGGCATGGTGAGGTAGAAGACAAGGAGGTAGGGATGAGGGAAGGAGGATGAGGCAGGCAGGAAGGAGTGTGGGATCAGGCAGGGAGGGACAGGAGGTAGGGAAGGGAGGGACAGGCAGGGAAGGGGAGTTAGATGGTGTGGAAGGAGGTAGGGATGAGGCAGGTAGGGGAAGGGAGTAGGGGACAGGCAGGGGAAGGAGAGTAGGGATCAGGCAGGCAGGGAAGGAGGGGATGGTAGGAAGGAGGCAGGATGGAAGGATGGTAGAGGTGGCAGGCAGAGAAGGAGTGGGATGAGGGCAGGGAGGAGGTAGGGA